TATAAATATCTTCATCACTACAAATATCATTATCACTATCACTTTGATTTAAATTATCAAATATAGTATTTAAATCATAATTGTTATCAAAATTTCTATTTTTTCTTTCTTCTTATATTAATTTAACTTATAATTACTATAAATATAAACAAATTTAAAAACTTTATCTGAACTTAATCTATTTCTTTTTTTGTCATGTATATAACTAAATGCTGACCAGTTATGTTCTGAAGAAGCTGAAGATGTTGGAATTGTAAGTATTTATTGTGCTAAATTATAAAGTTCAGGAGCTGATATTTTAAAATTGCCTTGCCACCATGTAATTGAATCAATATTTTTTATAGTTTTCCAAGCAAGTTGATTTTGAAATGGACCAGTTTGTGATTTGTATTGAAGTATTTGTGTATAAATAATTTTTGCATTATCTGGATAATATTGTTCTAAAAAATCTGAAATAACTTACATTCCATCTGCTTCAAGATTTCGTCCAACAAATCTAGGATCTAATAAATAGGCAACTTCTAAAACAGCATGATACATTTTTGTCCATCTTTCAGATAATATATCTAATATATTATTATAAATATTACTAGAAAGTTGTTGAATACTAAATATTAAATAAATTATTAATATAAATATATTAAAATTTTAATATATAGTATTATAAATTTTAAAAATTTCAATAAAATTTTAATTTTATATAACATTATAATATTAAAATAAATAATAACTTTAATAATTTAGATTAAATATAGAGAACTGTTAATGCCACCCTCACTTTTGTTAATGCCACTCTCTATATAACTCTAACTGGTCTAAATCTTGAAAATTTTACAAATAATATTTAGAAATATTGTGAATTTATATGATTAATTAAGTTAGCAATTAGAATAAGCATTGTTCATAGAGTTCTGGAAAGGTTAAAAACTAATTAGAGCTATGTAGAGGGTGGCATTAATAAAAATAGGGTGGCATTAACAAGACTCTAAATATATTGTTAAAATAAATAATTACTTACAATCTAATTCTAAAATATTATCATACCATTCATAAAATTCTGATAATTTTGGTGTATCATTTTCAAAAAGAGAAATACCTACTACAAGTTGCTTTAACAAATATAAAAGTACTTTAAGTTCTTTCCAAAAATTGTCATCTAATATAATTACTTTAATTTCATTATCTAATTTAATTAAATTATTATTAGAAATTTCAGTAACTGTAAGACTTAAAGCTAATTGATTTTTATATATTGAATCTAAACAATTTGTTGATGATCTCAACTAGTTTTAACTGGAAGTTTTAATGCTTTGAAATTAGAACCATATTTTGATTTTTGGTATCTTTTAAAAATAGCACCTGGAATAATATGATTATAAAAATAAAGAACAATTTTTTTTGAATTTTCAAGAATAGTTTTTGCCCAATTAATTTTTATAATATCTCCAATTAAAAGATTTATTCCATGAGCTAAACAACCAAAAAAATAATAAAAGGATATTTTTTTTCTAAAATTCTCCATGCAGCTTTCATTACTGATGCATTATCAGTAATAATAGTTGAAACCTTTGTAATTTCAATTAATTCTATCATCTTTTCAATTTCATTAGCTATATTTATTGCATTTTGTTGAATTTCTTCAGTTGGTTTAGCTGATATAAATACAGGAATAGGTGTAGTAAAAATTATATTAGTCCAATGTTCATTATTTAAATTAGACCTAAATAAATTATAATTAAATATAATATATTAATATATATTATTAATAAATTTTAATTTCTAATATTACTATGAAAACTAATATTCACATTAGGTTAACTATATTTGTGCTTCTAATAAAAGTTTAAAGAAGATTATTGCAGTTCTAATAGTAGTAAAAACACTAAAATTAGTTTAGTAAATCATAAAATATTGATTATTTATATTTCACAATCAAATAAATATATTTTATATAATTGTGAAATATAAATTGTCAATATTTTGTGATCTTCTAAGCTAATTTTAGTGTTTTTTTTTTACTATTAGAATTGTAATGATCTTTTCTACAACTTTAATTATAAGCATAAATAAGATTTAAGATTAATCTAGTGTAAAAAATAGTTTTTATAATACTATTAATTAATCATTAAAATTATAGCAAATTTTTTATAATATTTTTTGTTTTACTTACCATCCATCTGTAATAATACAAATATAATCAGCTTTACTAATATATTGTTCTACCTCAGTTTTTGTTTCTTTATATGCTCTATTAAGAAAATTTGTTGAAAGTTTTTTTCTTTTAGGTAAGAACGTAATTTTTTAAAAAACTCAATTATAGGTTTGTTTTCAGAAAATGATAAAGGAAGTCCACACTGAAATATAGCTTTAGTAAGACAATATTGTAGATTTGCTTGATCAGTTGTATTCATATTATCTAAAAACTGATTAAGATTGCTATTTGGTTTATTTATAAATCTTGTTATTGATTGATTTGCTGTAGTGGTATATCGAGGACCATTAAATCTAGGATGTTCAAATTCTTCACCAAAATATTCTTTCAAGATTTCAATACTTGTATTAGTACATACTCTAAAATGTTCTTCACATCGTAATACTATACTAGCACATGTAAAAGAACATCTATTACATTTTGCACTTTCTTGTTTATATCCCTCTACAACTCCCAACTTTGTAAAATGCTCCCAAATTTTACCAAGTTTTGTCATTCAGAAAGATAGAAGAGAATTATAATGGTAAGTCTTAAAAAAACTTAATACATCGAGAAATATATCAATAAATGTATACATATGTCAATATGTTATTATAAAAATATTTTCGCCCCAACATTTTTTTAATTAGAAATAGATCTGCATTATTACTACTTTAATTTCAGGAACGGAGTAATGAATATAACGAAATGTATAGCTTATTTGAGAAAGAAATTATGTGCATACCCAAAATCTAATACCTGATTGGTCAGTGTGATCATAGTTGTCACATCTTGTATATTCTTCACCCACTATTAAAATCACGACTCATCTCCATCAAAGCCACGAATCTGCATTGCTAGACGATCATTCAATGTTAAAAAATCTGGAATCCGCCCATTGCTAAAATTTTTAACTTATCATTACTCGAATCATAAACACTCATTGACTTACTTATTTAAATTACTAATTTACTTACCACTAAAATTAGTCTATTAATATTAAAAGCACTAACCGATCTACTGTTGAAATAATAAACTCGCTGTTCAAATCACTCACCTATTTTTAAAA